CTCCCAGGCTCCGTCCACCTTAGAGGCAAGTGGTGGTTGCAGCTCAAGAAAGATCAGGTACGGGGTAAGGCCTCAGTCTAGCGATAGCTGTAAACTACACCCGTTTTCATTTAGTCCAAAAAACCCATCTTTCCTGCCAGTGGCTTTGGCTTATGCCTACAGACCACACTGCTTCTTCAGGGCTTGCAGGCAAGCGGAGGCTGATGTGAACTTCACAAGCTGTGACACCCACTACAGAAACGCGTACGCTGCTTTGACCTTCAGTGCTGGTATGAAACCTTACAGAGACACAAATTTATCTTAAAGTCAGGAGCAGATTTAATAGAGCAGGAGAAGATCATTTTCAATATTTCCATCTCAATTATAGTCAAACACCTCGGCGAGTCTCAGCCTTTGGGGCTGTACCTGGGCTGCCTGCTCCCAGCGTTGAGACTCTCGGCAGAATCAGCAGAAATAGCACAACTGGGCAAGGTAGAGGTGATTTATCAAGGCTGAAGTAATTCATACTGACACAGAGGCGCTGAGGAGGAGCTCAGGGTCCAGCAAGTGCCCCCAAAGACCTGAGAGTTATATGGTGCCACACACTGAAAGTGGCAGACTTGGGATCTGACTCCCCAGCAAAGAAATCCTTTTTTTTTTTCCCCCCAAAACCATTTTCAAACAGCAAAAAGAAGCAGCCCTGCTACAGAGAAAGGCAATTTTAACAGTTGCGATACCCTACTGCTAAAATTGTTCCTCTAACAGCACGTTCTCTTCTAACTCATTAAAGAGTGACTAGTATTCAGAGTCCCAGAATTTTGGGGCAAACAGGATTTTTCAACAGAAAACTAGAAGGTGAATACAGCCATGAAGACAAATAAAGTACTGTGCACGCAAATACTTTCATATCTGTCTGGCCCTTTAAAACCAAAATGATAGAGTTCATTTGCATTTAGATCTCTTTGGCTCCCTCTTTTCATCTAAAGACAAATCCTCACAAAGGCTCCTTAATTAGACCAAATTAGATTTCCACCTAGTGGCTTGTCATTCATTAGAAAATGCTGTTCTTTTTTTCTGTTTTGGTAATTATAGGCTGGTCTCACAGTGTTCACTTCAGGCTCAAAGTATGACTTGCATTCATGATTTTGTGCAGATGAGAGGAAAATTATTCAGTCGCATCAAGTCTGCCCATTTTACAAGTTGGATAAAGATCATAGCTGGAGTCTTTTATGTAATGGGGTATAGTCTTTCTTAAGTCTTTAATGATTAATTGTAATAGCGTATCTCATGGCAATTTTCAAGACTAAAAGCTAAGTACAAACAGTTCTCATGCAAAGATACTGTACCAGATAGCGGGTGGCTTTCCTTCGATATGGGTGTCTGTGTCGGGGACCCGGGTGCGTGGTCCTCGGTTGTCCGCGTTACGACCCCGCCGTGAGCAGAGAAGATGGGAAGGGGCAGGCTGGCGCCTGGGGTTGGGTGGGGGAAACCCTGGCCTGGAAGTGCCGTCTGCCTTATCCAACTGCTTATCTAACCCAACGAGGGGGACACCTGTGTCCCACACATCCTCGCAGTCCTGTGCCGCCAGCATTACACAAAACATAGCTCCTAGAGGGCCAAATCTTTCAAGTAGACCTGAGACTCAAAGGTTTCTAGCTGATAAGGCTCCAGCTCCCAGCACACATCAGTCAGGAGCAGAGGTTAGAGCAAAATACATGTGTGGACCTACTGCGGGTTAGCGGTGTCCCTACCCTGTCTAGAGTATTTGTAATGAAAGGAGTTAAACTCACAGTAAGATCCTCGAGCTTTACTGTTCCTGACTCTGAGGGCAGCGGTTTGCCCAACCATCACCCGTTTCTCTGGAAGACTCTCACACTGCTGTGGGACGCTGTAATGATGTGGTCTACCACTTTGAACACAGAGCGGAACGTCTGCTTCCCTCCCCGATCCAAACTCCGTTCCCTTTGCTGTCCTGCATCAGCCCATTAATTCCTGCCTCAGTTTCCCCACTATGGCAGCAGGATTAATGCTCAGTGGCGCGTTTTGAAGCTTAATAAATCAGGGCCAGATTTTGTGGTCCTTCATCAAGCAAAACTTCCTTTGATTTTGACCTTTAATGTTTATGAAAAGCTTCAAAGATAACTGCCAACTTATTATTAATAATCTTCTTGGAAGTGGAAGTTACAAGCAGGTAGCGGCAGGCAGCCCAGCAGCCACCGGCCCCTGCTAGGATTTCTTGTGCATTAACAAATCCAGCTTTTCAGGTGTGGTTTTCTGAACAACATTCTTGTTTTCCCAGCCATTTTTTGTGAGAGGGAAAATAAGTTTTTCTCTCCACCTTTAAAAAAAAAAAATCTGATCAAATTTGCCTTTCTCAAAACACTGAACATTCCCTTTCTCATCTACCTAAACCTGATGTTGAGTTACTGTCCCCCAGAGGCTTTCAGTAGCTCAGTTCTGATGTATCCCTGCACTTTGTAGCTCACTGCCTTCTTAGAGTGTAATCAAACATCAAGCTAAGTAGCAAATAAATCTCCCGATCTCATAAGCTGCACAGCAAGATCATGTAAATGCAAATGAAGGGCTTGATTTCAAGCTGTCGCGGGGGGAAGGAGGGAAAAATGCTGGGCCTTGTCACCGCAATCACTTCACTCTGCAAGTGCAGTAAATCTGCAATAATAATAGTAATGGCAGCGTGACGGGAGGCTTTACTGTACAAGGGGGTGTAATGAAAAAGGGAACAGAAGGTAGGGAAGGAAGCGGGGCCTGGCGGGCTGAGAATGCACTGGCGCAGGGTTTGCAGGAGTCCACAGAGCCGAGGCGCCGAGGAGGGGATGGGGCAGTCCCGGCTGAGTCAGAGCAGAGAGGATTCATGGATTTGCCCAACATCCCCTCCCAGTGAAGGGCTGCCTTCGATGCAGGGATTAAAAATCCATGCCTCCATCTCTCGCTGTGCCTCTCTGCACAGACGCGTCTCCTGCCCCTCTCACAGTCTCAGTCATCTTTAGAAAATTGGTGCAATGTGTATCGATGGGCCATAAATACACGTTTGCAACACACCCACCTCTTACAAACAGACCCATTTCCGAGCCTTCATCTTCCTTCACAGCAAACATGTTCCAACACCATTAGACACTCAAATACAAATCCAGGGCTCAAATCCAGGACTGCACAAATCAGAAATTACCTGGCAAAGGCCAGGGAGCTCAATACACCCAACACCGCTCGCTCTTCAGCCAACCAGGGTATCCCCACCGATCAAAGAGCCCCACCACTGCGCTGCAGCCCGTCTGAGCATGGCACCCTCCAAATCCAGTTCAGACACACCTGGTTCAACCACAAAAATTATCGTGTCCAGGAAGAAAGGATGCATTAGCTGAGTCATTAAAGACAGTTTGAGAGTGCAAACAAAGCCTCAGCACACGTTTCTCGCAGCCCTGGGAGGAGGCAATGATCTCTGCAGGATGCTCTGGGAACGCTTCAGGAAAAAGTCTCAAGTTGTCTTTTCCGAACGGGCTGGATAAACAGTATTTAAGATGCCGGATTTTCCTCACTGAGGTCGTAAAGGGAGAAAACTTGCAGAAGGTACCCAGAGAAAATTAGGACCGCCTGGGATGCAGAGAGAGACGGTTTTAATTAGAGCCAAGAGGTGGGAAATAAGGCAGAGAAATGACATCTTAATGAGGTTTAATGAAGTTGTCTGCTGATGGGCACAGCTGTCAGACAGATCTGTATTCCAGCCAAGCAGCTTTGTGACAGGCTAAACCTGAACACAGGAAACGGTGCTGGAGCTGGGGAAGAAAAAAGGACCTTCTGCATCAACTTTGGCTTGCTCTACCCACAGCTTTACGACACAGCACACCTACAGTGCCCCAGGACAAACAAATGAAACCAGTCCATGAGGTTGCAACAGGGTTTTGCTAATTTGTGAATGAGAAAGGCTGTAATCTTGGATTACACTGAGC